GCTTACATTCTGAGAGATCAAATTTCTTCAGAAGTTCTCTGACATATTTGCTCTGATGAATGTAAGTTCCTTCTGGGGTTTGATTGATCTGAATGCCCATAAGGAATTTCAGTTCCCCCATTAGGCTCATCTCAAATTCTGTCTGCATACACTTAGCAAACTTTCTTCCCAGAGAAGGTTTAGTAGATCCAAAAATGATGTCATCAACATAAATCTGACATACTAAAATATCATTCTTAACTGTCTTACAGAATAGAGTTGTGTCCACTTTCCCTTTGGTGAATTCCTTTTCTAACAGGAAGTTACTTAGTCTTTCATACCAAGCTCTGGGAGCTTGTTTCAGACCATAGAGTGACTTCTTTAGTTTGAAAACATATTCTGGGTTTTTGGAACTTTCAAAGCCAGGGGGTTGGTGCACATATACCTCTTCTTCTATATAGCCATTTAAGAATGCACTCTTAACATCCATCTGATACAGAGTGATGCCTTTATTAACAGCAAAAGAAATTAAGAGTCTGATAGATTCTAACCTGGCGACTGGAGCAAAGGTTTATGTATAGTCTATTCCCTCTTGCTGACTATAACCTTGTGCTACCAATCGTGTCTTGTTTCTGATGACTTCACCTTGTTCGTTCAGTTTGTTTCTGAACACCCATTTTGTTCCAATGACGTTGAATCCTTTTGGCTTAGGAACTAGATCCCATACATCATTTCTTGTGAATTGATTTAGCTCCTCTTGCATTGCTAGAATACAGTCATTGTCCAGAAGTGCTTCATCAATTGTTGATGGTTCAGTTACAGAAACAAGTCCCATGAGGGATTCTTCAGAGTTTCTGAAGCTAGATCTTGTTCTGATTGGATCTTCCTTTCTTCCTAAGATTGTTTCTTCTGGGTGATCCAAGCTGCTTCTGGATAGTCTTTTCTGAAGTTGATCAATAGAAGGTGATGGATTGCTTGCAGTGCCTCTTTCTGATGTTGAGGGAGTGTCTCTATTAAGAGCTTCTGATGACTTGTCTTCAGTACCTGTGAATTCAACTTCCATACCTGCAAGAAATTCATTCTGCTTTGACTTTTGAGAGTCAAGCTTATCATCAAAACAAACACTGATTGATTCTTTCACAATCTGTGTTTATGTATTGTATACTCTGTACCCTCTTGAGCGTTCAGAGTATCCTAACATAATACACTTTTGTGCTTTAGAGTCAAACTTGTTCAAATAATTTTTTGTATTCAAAATAAAACAAGTACATCCAAATGGATGAAAATATGAAATGTTGGGCTTTCTGTTCTTCCATAATTCATATGGAGTCTTTTCCAGAATAGGTCTTATGGAGATTTTATTCTGAATGTAACACGATGTGTTTATTACCTCTGCCCAGAAGATCTTAGCAACGTTAGTCTCGTTGATCATGGTTCTGGCCATTTCTTGCAATGTTCTGTTCTTTCATTCTACAACTCCATTTTGCTGAGGAGTTTTAGGACAAGAGAAATCATGCAGAATGCCTTTGTCATTAAAAAATGATTCAAAATCTTTGTTTTCAAATTCTCCACCATGATCACTTCTGACTTTGACGATTCTAAGATCCTTTTCATTCTGAACTTGGTTGCAGAAGGTGACAAACACAGAGTGTGACTCGTCCTTGTGTCTTAAGAATTTTACCCATGTCCATCTGCTATAGTCATCTACGATTACTAACCCATACTTCTTGCGACTGACTGAAGCAGTTTTAACTGGTCCAAATAAGTCAATGTGCAGAAGTTCTAATGGCTTAGAGGTGGAAACAACGTTTTTAGATTTGAAAGTTGGTTTTGCAAACTTGCCTTTCTGACATGTTTCACACAGAACATCTGAATTGAACTTCAGGTTAGGAAATCCTCTGACCAGATTGAGTTTGTTAATATGAGATATTCTTCTCATACTAACATGTCCCAATCTTCTGTGCCAGATCCATTGCTCGTTGTTAACAGACAGAAGACACTTTACATTCTGACTTTTCAGTTCATAAAGTTTTATTTTATAAATGTTGTTTCTCCTCTTTCCATTAAATAGGATAGTCTCATCTTTCTGATTAACAGCTTTGCATGAATTTTGATTAAAGATTATATCATAACCGTTATCACTTAATTGACTTATGGATAACAGGTTATGCATTAATCCATCTACTAATAAAACATTACTTATAGAGGGAAGATTTCCATTACCTACTGTTCCAGATCCAATGATCTTTCCTCTCTGATTACCTCCAAAGCCTACGTGGCCTCCAGGCTTAAGTTCCAGGCTTTGGAACATATGCCTTCTTCCCGTCATGTGTCGTGAGCAGCCAGAGTCCAGGTACCATGACTGGTGTTTCTGCTTTGCTGCTAAAGATATCTGTCACATGTATTATTTTATCCTTAGGTACCCATATTTTCTTGGGTCATGATTTGTTAGTTTTACCAAAACTCTGGTTGAATTTTGGCTTGACAGAATAATTACTACTTGTATATTTGATGTCATGTGTGTGCCCATATACAAAGTGTGAATCAAGTGAAGTGCGTTTTATAACTAAATCCATGGCATTTTTTGGTGTAGGTACCTTACCTTGGTATCCTATTCCTTTCCTACCATTTCTGCTAACTCCATAGATCATTGAAGCCATTTTGCTTCTATATATGTTTTTAGCTAGAAACTTCTGAAAACTGTGATCATGCTCCTTGATGATCTCATCAGCGCTGCTGGGAGTTTCAGGGATTGTTTCCTTCTGAGATTTTTGCAATTGATTTTCTAATTTTGAAAATTTATCTTTTAACTCAGAATTCTCCAATTTGAGACTCTCAGTCTTATCAGAGTCAGAAGCAAGATTCCTTTTCAGGTTTCTGAATTTGACTCTGATCTGCTGATATCTTTCCAGAATTTCATTAAGGCTTTCAGCTAGTTCAACCTTAGTAAAGTTTATAGCAAAGTCAGGGAATACCTCTTCTATATCTGATTCAGAGTCTGACTCAGAAGCTTCACTGTCTTCTGTTATGTTTGCCATGAGAGCTATGTTTGCTCTCTCATCATCTGATTCTGAGTCAGCTTCAGATGTGTCAGAATCATCCCATGTAGCCATGAGACTTTTCTTCCTTTCCTTGCCAAACTTCTTTTTGGGCTTTTCCTTCTGAAGCTTTGGGCAATCACTTTTGTAGTGTCGTTGCTCATTACATTCATAGCAGATGATGTCTTTGTTGTTTGGATTTCTGCTTCCTGAAGAGCCTTCAGATCTTCTGTGTCCAGAGGAGGATTCTGACCTTCTGTATCCGGAGAAGGATTCATTCTGATTCTCTGATCTTCTGGGATTCCTGAACTTCCTTTGCCTCTGCTTCCATAATTGGTTCACCCTTCTAGAGAGGAGAGATAGTTCATCTTCTTCTGATGAGGACCCATCAGAGGTTTCTTCAACAGCCTGCAAAACTTTAGAGTCAGATTTTCTGTTAGATTTTAAAGCTAATGGCTTACCTTGCTTTTGAGGTTCATCTGCTTCTAGCTCTATCTCGTGACTTCTGAGGGAGCTGACAAGTTCCTCCAGAGAGATTTTGTTGAGATCCTTGGCTAGCTTAAGCGCTGTGACCATTGGCCTCCACTGTTTTGGCAAGCTTCTGATGATCTTCTTAACATGATCAGCAGTGGAATACCCTTTGTCAAAAACTTTGAGACCAGCAACCAGAATTTGAAATCTTGAGAACATAGTCTCTATTGATTCACTCTCTTCCATCTTGAATGCCTCATACTTCTGAATGAGCGCAAGAGCTTTGGTTTCTTTGACTTGAATGTTGCCTTCATGCGTCATTCTCAGAGAGTCAAACATATTCTTTGCAGTGTCTCTGTTTGATATCTTTTCATATTCTGAATAAGAGATGGCGCTGAGAAGAATTGTTTTGGCCTTGTGATGATTTCTGAAATCACGCTTTTGCTGATCAGACATTGCTTTCCTGTCAATCTTCTGACCACTTCCATCCACTGGGTGCGTGTATCCATCAGTCACCATGTCCCACAGATCAACATCATGGGCCAGAAAGAAACTTTCAATTCTGTTTTTCCAGTAGTCAAAGTTCTCTCCATCAAAGACTGGAGGTTTGCCACTGAATCTATCTGTTTCTTCATTGTTGTCATTGCTGATGTTTTGATGTGGTCCTGCCATTGTGTTTTTCTGACGCTGGATCTTGTACTGACACGGTTAAGTGTTATAAGCTCAGAACCAGGCGCTCTGATGCCAATTGAAGAAGTGAAAAACACAAGAAGGGGGGTTGAATTGTAAAACTTAAATCAAAAGCTTAAACAACACGGTATTTTTATCCTGATTCGTTTGATCTCAAACTACTTCAGTCCACCCGTCAAGGTGATTTCGCCTCTCTCCAACGAGGTCTTAATCCACTATAATCAACTGATTACAACAATCACTTTAACAACTGTTAAAGCCTTCTTGAGTATAACCACAGACCGGTTTATCTCAAGGAAAATTCTCTTACAGATAATTGAAAAAGTGTGTTTGATGTTTTCTAATAAAACTATATATCACAACTGTGATAATACACAATATTTAGCTTAGAATGAAACTGGACTGCTAATGCTTTTGAGTAGGCGTGGTTGAAAGCTTTAACAAATTGTATGAGTGAGTTCATTTACGTAGGCGTGTATATGCGTGAAGATTATTAGCCTTTTCTTTTCTCACACAGTCTTGATTAAATAGCCAAGGAAGAGATACGTTGGTTGTCCATAAATCACTTTCAATGATAATAACGTTCTTTCCTTTTTGAGAAGATCTTGTCTTGGAATAAAGTCGTTGGTAATTAATCTGTCTTGAATGCTTAGTAATGCTGACGCTTCAGAGTCTTCTCTGCTTATAGTAATCAGAGTGTTCTTGGCTTTAACTTATTCTGACACTTCTGAGTGCTGATGACTTGATAAGGATCTTGATCAGAGTCAGAGTATTTTATGCGCAGATTCTGGTCATCAGGCTTCAGCGTATGATCTGGTAACTTCAGCGTGTAACACATGTTATTGATCTTCTGATGCTGACATATCTTCTGATGCTGATGTTGATACTGATCTTCTGATGCTGACATATCTTCTGATGCTGATGTTGATACTGATCTTCTGATGCTGATTCCATCAAAGTTTCTGTAAATACAAGACATAATTTTAAATAGCATATATGTCTTATATATATAAATCTTACAATTTATTTATTCTTGTATTTTGTTATCATCAAAACTCTAATTGAGGGTTGTAGAATCAAACTATGTTCTAACAAAATCATCCCATAATCATCCAAGAGTTTAATAGACAATTTCTTCTCCTTAATTTTATACTTTTATCTCTTATTTTAGTTATATTATTATTGTGTTACTTTGATACCCAACAGTATTATCAAGTCATCAGAAAATATATAGAAACTGCAGTTATTTTGTTTAGTAAATTACATATTATACAACATCTACCAGAAATATGGGCTATTAGCAAAAAAAAAAAAAACTACTGCAATATAGCAAGTTAAATTAGAAGAGGTTCTATTTAAGTACACCAACATTACTTCAAAACATGGTTAAGAAAATACACCACCTATTGATACACTGCACGCCTTAAATTAAACTTGCAATACAAAACCAACCAAATGTTCGAAGCTTTTGGTTTTGTTATTCTAAGGAACCTTTTCACATTACAATACATCAATATATTCAAATCTCTACTAATTATATTATCTTTAATTATATTATCTTTAACCTTCAATTAAAATAAGTAAAAGCCTGGTCTGTTACCTACTGCGAAAGCTCGGTCAATTTGCCACTTTCAGTGCAGTTGGAAGCTTTCGAAGCAAATAGTAAAAAAGGGTTCAATGGTGGGTTCTGATTAGTAGTAGTAGTATAGCCATAGTGTGAGATCTATCTGCAAACACCCAAAAGATTTGTTTGTATAATGCAGCGCAGCTTCCAGATAAACTGAAGACTATAGTCAGTGTGAATCCCAGTCGGGAACTACAGACGGCGATCATCTAGTTATCTCGGCTTTCTCTACGCCTGTCATATAATTATCTCGCCATGGATTGGGATGATTACGAAGATGATTGGGATGATTGGGAGGGATGCATGCAGGTGAGATGTGGAAATGTTTGATGAAGCTTGTGTCCATTGTGTAGCCTCGTGTCCATTGTGTAGCCTCGTCCACGTATTCCACTTCACTTTTAATTAATAGACCACTAACATAACAGCAATTTACGACTCCAACTTCAGAATGTTAGTATGGAATTGTTTTGATATCATACGAATCATATCAGACAAATCCAAAGGTGGAAAGAAGAATAAAGAGTGAATATACTTGTATAACTACATAAAATACTTTGAAGTATTGTTTAATCATTGAATTATATATATATATATATATATATATATATATATATATATATATATATATATATATATATATATATATATATATATATATATATATATATATAAATATATAAATATATAAATAACATAACAATTTGTTTGGACTTTACTGAAATGATATAACAACAAATAAGGTGGTGTAGCAGATAAAACAATTCTCAACAATAAAAATGACCAATCTCTATACCTCTTTTTGGACTACCTCTTTCTTTGTGGACAACCTCTTTCTTCTCAAACGGGTTCCTTCTTTTTTCTTCCTGTGCCAGTATCCCTCTTTTTGGACTATTGACAGCATAGTTTGACACTGAATCGAAAAGATGGAAAATTTGATAGTTATTGTTGAAATGATTCAATAGTCCAACGAACACAAATTGCACTTTATAGATACAATCTACTAATTGCTATCCAAGGGTTGAGGGAAATTAAATATATCATGAAAACCATATATATGGAATTTTAAACTGCACAAATAAAAGGAAATAAGAAAAATTCACCAAAAATTGAAATGCACACAGAATCAAACACGCACCGGAAAACTTCATAAAACAAAGAATGATCAATACAAGCATCAATAAATTGATACAAAAGTTATTGAAACAAAGTTATTGAAAAACTTACAAATAAGAACAATTCCCAACACGTCTGAAACTTTTCCTTTGATTTGCAGCAAACCTGCCATCCATTACACGTCCTCGAAATTGTTAGAACTGTTGCAGTGAATTGGCACTATCTTTACACCAGTTTTCCACCTTAAATCTTTATCAAACCTACAAAAGTACAATAAAAAGATAAGTATACAAATTATTCATCATATATACTTATTCCATGAAGGTTAAGAGTTCATTAGCAGCAGCTGCTCCAGGAGTAATGACTATTATTTGTGCCATTGCAGTTCTGATAGATATAAGTCGATGATAGTCTTGAAATAATGCATTCTCTCTAAAACCATTATAATCCTCTAGGTACTTTTCTACCAAATCAATCCTCTGGGTACTTTTCTACCAAATCAAATGAAACCTGAACAGAGCACGTTAAAATATATTAGTATTTCATCAGAAGCTAGAACTATAAACATTAATTTGAATAGAATGATATATGAATATAGACTTACTTGGTTAGGATACTTGCAAGAAAACGCTCGCGGTACGAAGTCTCTGTGCAATTGCAATTGCTGCCTGCAGAGAGATGTCATAACAAATGGATAAAAAACAGATTTCGACATAGACATTATATTATATTTCACGCAAATTCACCTGTAAACCAAACATTTTACAATCAGTTTCCATTTCATGTTACTTACCTGCTGCAACAAAAGTCTCAGCTGTTTAGAACACTATCCCATAACAGCAATTGACAGATTGTTGAAATGCCATTAGTCCACACCATTTTGGTTCAGTGGAATGTTGCAAATATATTTTAAAATCTAAGAAATGGATTTTGGAGTGTCCTGTATCACACCAGCACAAAACACCTGAGGCATCAGCAGCTGGCATCATCTGCTCATAGTTATGTGAAGCTGTAGTTGCTGTCAAATTTTTCTCTAACTGGGATAAAGCTGCATGAAATGTGAAATCAACCCTTAAGTTATCATTACAAAAAATAAATTTACCTTCAAATAACCTACCATCTTCACAGAAGCCAGATACTGGGATAAGCTGCATGAAATGTGAAATCAACCCTTAAGTTATCATTACAAAAGATAAAATTTAAAGGAAAGCTTTAGCAGTTGAGTACCATTTCGAAACAAAACCAATGACCAGAATTTGTTCAAGAGCAGAAACTCCGTGAGTTGAAGCAAAGAAACATTAACAGTATTTGACAGATGCACTAATTCAGCCACATTATCGCGCCGTAGCCGAACTCAAGTCATCGGTAAACATTAACCTGAAATACACAAATTAAGTCAATATTTACATCAAAGTTTCACTCATTCCAATCCACATATTCAAAGTTTCAGTAATGAAGAACTCACAGGATGTCGAAAAGCACAAGTCGGATTAAGACAATTCACCGATAACCAGTACCAGCAATCCCTCGGGTTAAGCCTCACAATCCCATTGTGCCTATAATCACACTGTACACCCTGTAACCAAAACAAAAACAACAAAAAAACATTGCGGTTAATAATTAATACAACAACAATGTTCTAGCCTGTAAATATCCCTGCTAACCACTTGCTCTCCATTACCACCCGCTACTTTCCCTTCAAAGAGGGCAATATGGTTTAAACCAACATCCCTTCGTTTTCCAACCTAAAGAAGGTAAGAGCAATTAGTAAATGGAAAGGTTACATGAAGCTGAAACCAGAAAGTATCTGCAGTGTACATTTCCAAGCCGCAACGTAGAGTTGAAGCCTGCACAGTATATTTATTTCTCAATTTCACCAGATTAATCATATAGAACAAAAGCATATAGATGGATATATTAAAAAGAGACCATTAAAAATTCGAAATTTTGATGCTTTTTGATACCTGCTATTGCTTTTTGATATCTCCACAACATCGACGCCATCGTCCCAATCTCTGTTGGAATAAATCCAGAATAATCTTCAACATCACAATCTAGTAAAACACATTTTCACAATTCTAGAAAATCAAGCAATTCAGTTCCCAAAACTAATCCTTCGAGAGACCAAAATCAAATTAATTGACTCATACAAATTGAATAACCAAATTAGTTCTACTCCAATACTACTTAATCTCAAATATTCCTTTCATATCAGTACATGATAAACATAACAATTCAACAGTTGCAAATTAAACCTAAGAACCCTAATAAAAAACCAAAAGATATATTTTTTATAAAAACAAAAAAAAAAAAGGAATAAACTTGAAACCTGATAGAGGATAGTTAATCTCGCAAGTGGCGACGTACATTTTTTACTAAATGCTCCGACAACTCCTCCGGCGATGAGCTGAGAAAGAGTCCCAATCTGTTGCGGTGGCGGTTCTTTTTGCTTCGAGGTGTTTAATGCTTCGCGGTGGTGATCTACTACTGCGGTTATCCGCAAGCTATTATCGGATTAGTAGCAGATGAAGAGAGGGAAGAGAGAAGAAAGAGAGAAGAAGAAGAAGAACCGGGAGAGACAAAGAGAAAAAAAACAAATGAGAGAGAAAATGGAAGATACGATAAAAGATAAGTTTTGAAATTTAAATTTTGAATTAAAGGTGTTATTGCATAGGAACCAAGTGATGTCATACTACCATTCAAAGAGAAGTAGCAAAGACATAATAGAATAAAGATGTAATTGAAATAGAAGCAAATGATATTATTAATTAGAAAAAGCATTTATTTAGATACAAAATGCCCTCATTTTTTGATGAAATGGCAAATTAAGAAATAAGGGTAAATGGAGATTGAAGATAGAAAGTTCTTATAGGTAGATTTGACATAATATTTATAAAAAAATATAAAAACATTAAATATTTTGATAACATTTTTATAAGAAATTATTTTTTTTTTTATATTATTTGAAGCTGTATTTTTGACCAAATATATATAATGCTATGAAAATTATATTAAATAAACTATAAATAACGAATCATGAATACATGGTAATGTTGGTATGGTAGTGTTATAGATTTCTTGATATTATTTATATTTTAAATATAAAATATTATCAGAGATAATTATATGAAATGTGTACTTGTTAATCTATTTACATAATGTTTTCTATGGATTTTAGAATTATTGTGGTGTTATAGCAAATTCACACCAGAGTAATGAAAAATTTTATATCTAAGTGATTGTTGAGTTAATTGAATGTCCTCTTCAATTATGGAGTTTGTTCATAATGATTGTTTAGTAAATAAGTGTTGGAGTTGGTTCTGAGGTCCAATGGGGTAACATGTATTACGTGTTGCGGGCGTCCTCTTTGCTCATTCCAGGTGGCATCTTGGTTCTTAGGATGCTCGTCCAACAACAAAGTATTTGACTTGTCTTAATCTATATGGGCTATCCTTTATTAGGGTCTAATAAAATTATACTGGTACATAGTCTCTCAAGCATGAGGGCTTGAAAAGGGCGAATTGATTTAATCCAAACTTGTTGTGATTCGAACTTCCAGAACCTCAAGTTTTGCAAAACATGAAGTGTTTTCATAATCAAACTTCACATGACTTAAACTATTCTCAAATGCGGTTCTTTATTAAAAAAACTTTAACAACTAGACTATAATTGCTCGGAATATAATCAAACAGTTGGAGTTATGTTGCATAAAAACTGATCTGGGTTGGGCCTACATTTGCCCTACGAGCGAGAAGCCCAAAAGACAGCCCAAGTTAGGGATTATGAGGCAACTCCCCATCCAACCGTTGGGGGATGTGACCCACGTCCTCTTAACAGACATCCCAAACTACCCTTCGGGAATCTCGGGTTCAGCCCTATTCTCGCGGAGCAGTTGACCAGGGGGAGTCCACTTGTTGGACTCCATACTCACGTAAACCCTGGCAGTTCCCGTTATTGGGCCTCTGTATGGCCCAATATTGGGGACATTGGCCCAGCGCTGGGGGCTATAAATACCCTCTCTCACAAGAGGGTCAGGTATTCATTCACACATCTAAAACTCATACTTGCTTGCTCATTCCGCTTCTCACTTTACCATCGGAGTGTCTTGCAGGTACCCCCCCCTCCCCCCCATCTCACTCAAGTTCAACCCAAAGCCAGTTGTGACGATCCAACTCTGATTCGGTAAGATCAGTGGCGCCGTCTGTGGGAAACTAAGCTTCCTCGTCTTCTATTCACTTGAGACCAAAGCTAAACAATCCTCGACTGTCATGGCTTACCAGACTTCGGACAGCCAGAACGTCTATGTCATCGACGTTAACAACAACATCACCGATAACAATGCCGACCTTGACAACACCGGTATCGCCGGCCATAACACGGTCTCTGGCGTCAATATGCCCGGACCTTCTAACTATAGGGACGGAGCCACTACCTCACCTTCATCAATGCCTCCTCGACTTGAAGAAGATCGACCACCTCCCCTGAACTATCCACCCGTCCAATTTTACGAGGTCCCCGTTCTTGTCGGGGCAGACGCCACGACCGGGGCACTGTTCGCGGAAATCAATCAAACCAACTATCTAATCTATGCTTAGGGGGAAAGGCTGAGGGCGCTCGAGGATGATCGAAGGCCCCCGAAAAGACACAGGAGACCTCAATCTCCTCCCCATCGACAAGCAGACGAACATCCCCAATCTCCCTCACGGCAAGAATGAAGACCCCCCGGAGACAGGCACAGGGGAAACCATCAACGGTCATACCGCCAAAGGAACGCTCCGTGCGACTAGGGCCACCATGACCGCCACTATATCGGATCTCTGTCTCGCTCTCCCGAACGGAGTGACGAGGGCGACCCCCGCGGTCCCTTGTCATAAGATATCATGGAGGCGCCCATTCCCCCGGGCATGGATAAACCTCTCCACTTAAAAGAGTACGACGGCATCGCCGACCCAGTCGACCATATAGACGGGTTCAAAGCCATGCTGCACTACCACAATGTCGGGGGACCAATCAAGTGTCGGTTGTTACCCACGACTCTGAGGAAAGCGGCTATGGACTGGTACGAAGGTATCGCCCCGGGGTCAATTACCTCTTGGCGAAACCTGAAGAACCAGTTCATCAGCTCGTTCATTGCTTCGCGACAACACTCGAAGACCAAAGCAGCACCCGAGGCCATCGTTCAGAAACACGATGAGACCTTGAGAGAATTCATTGACCCCTTCAATCAGGAAGCCATCCAGGTCCTCTGCATGGACCATATGAAGAGGTAACTGCTCGAGAGGGGGCTCCTCCCCGGCACCAAATTCAGAAAAGCCGTAAGCATCGAACCACCCCGGACGTTTGATGCCCTCCTCGAAAAGGCTAGGGCCTATATGGACTACAAGGAGAGAGAAGCGGCCAACAGAGCCCGAGATCCCAAGAATCGCGGATCCAGAAGTAATCTGCGACAAGACATCGCCCCTCCTCGACGAACTGGAGAGAAGAGAAGGGACGATAAACCCCGAGACGCCCGAGAACAAAAGGGGCCCTCGGGAAGGTTCACTGAATACACTTTGCTAACGGCTTCCCGCGAGCGCATCTTAGTGTAGTGCGTAAGTACATACTTCAAGGACGGCGGTGTTAAGCGTCCCCGCCCCACTCCTGCCAAACTCGGGGTAGACCGAAGCAAATACTATCAGTACCACCAGAGCCACGGGCACTTGACCGAAGACTGCGTCTACCTCAAGGACGCCATCGAGACCCTCATAAAAGAGGGAAGACTTGCACAATATCTGCAAAGCGACACTCCTCGTCGGGACGCCCGTGAGACGAGGGAAGTGGAAGAGGATGCCCGACCATCTGACGAGTATGTTCCCATCCAAATTGCGTTCTCCATCACAAGACCCGAGGACTTTTACGTCCCCGAACATCTGCAAGAGCCTCTGTCTATGCACAGCCGGTGGGAAAACTTCCCCTCCTCCATGGTCACCAATGGTGGAGAGTTTAATGATTTGACCATAAACTCAGCTAAGAGGAAGCGGGATGAGCTGGTCGATGCGACTCCCCCGCAAACTGTGACTTTTGAAAGGGTGAAAGGCAAATCAGAGTCGATCACCTTTTACCTCGAGAAGCTCCCCTGAGGGGCCCCCAATTCGGCCATCCCTCTATTGATAAGGGCGAGAATGGCCAACTTTGACGCACATCGTGTCCTCGTTGACGAGGGAAGTTTCGCCGACGTGATGTACAACCAGTTGTTCAGAACTCTGCAGCTCAATGACTCTCACCTTTCACCATACATGGGGTCAGACCTGCAGGGCTTTAACGGCTCGACGTCCAAGCCGTGGGGGTACGTCGAGCTTATGGCCACGTTCAACGAGGATACTGCCACCAGGAAGGTCAAGGTGCATTTCCTCGTCATTGACTGCCCGTCCCTCTACATCTGCATTCTCGGAAAGCCGACATTGGCATAGCTGACCGCGGTGCCCTTCACCGTCCACTTAAAGATGAAGTTCTACACCAAGAGGGCACAAGTCGCCACTATTCAAGGAGATCTGGCAGCTGCCCGAAGGTGCTTCAACGCGGCGTCCAAGGGACACAACACGGTGGACACCAGCACACGGCACGCCAAGAAAGATGCAACAGCGCGATCGGAGCCTCAGCGGTCAAAGCCCGTCAGAGTAGAAGAACAGAGGGCCCCTCCAAAGGTCGACTTGATCTCTCATGACACTTCCTTCGACTAGGACGATCCCCCCAGCGGTGAGCACGATCCCCTCCGACCAATTCTGGATGGGGACTTCGAGCTCGTCCCCCTCGGAGAAGACCCAAGCAGAGGAGTGAAGATTGGCACTAGACTCCCTGACTTGGCGAGAAAGAAGATCGAGGCTTGCTTGAGGGGAAATGCGGATCTGTTTGCATGGAGTGTTGCGGAGATGCCTGGTCTCGACCCTGAGGTCGCCTGTCATCAACTCGCCATTGATCCAACCGTTAGGGCAGTAGTATAACGTAGACGTAGGCAGTATCTGGAGAAAGCGGAGGCTGCTGAAAAAGCTGTAAAAGACCTCCTAAAGGCAAATTTTATTTCTGAAGCCCGGTATTCAACCTGGTTGTCAAATGTTTTACTTGTTAAGAAAAATAATGGAAAATGGAGAATGTGTGATGACTACACTGATCTTAACCGGGCATGCCCCAAAGATGTGTTCCCTTTACCTAATATTAATATGCTGGTCGAAAACTCGGACGGCTATAAAATTCTATCATTTATGGATGCTGTTGTACCCCAAAATTTGCCCTCCCATTTCTCATTGACTTCTCATCACTAAGCCCTTGAAGCTCAAGATCCAGTTAGGGTTTCATCTGCTCAAGACTTCTCCTTGCATTATTGACCCAAATTAGGGTTTGTGTTTGCACCAAGATGTTTTGACCTAAAGTGCCTAAGATGACTTTCATGCTTCATATTGGACTCCCAAGTTTATCCATACCAAGCTTCAAGCCTTGATTCCAAGTTTTGCCCAGTCAATTGGACAGTTAACCTAAAAATCAGCTGTATTGGGGAAAAAGTCAACTGTGGCCAATTGACAGTCAAATCTCATGAAAATTGACCCACATCAACATTATGAACTCATATGGACCATTTGATCAAGTTTGGATCACAATTCCATAAGAAATTTGATCAGATCCCCAAAAGGGCAAAATGGTCATTTTTAGGGTTTTGA